ACAGCACTGGGAACATCTGCCCAGCTGTGGGAGCTCTGCTGAGGAACAGCACAGCAGGCCTGTGTGGGGCAGCCCTGAGAATCTCTGGGTTTGTTTTTACCCAGCTCCTCTGTTGTTCAGGCTCGTCCCCTGGCACCCAGACCCGCAGCAGGGTGAGGGCCCACAGAATGTCACCACTGCACTGGTGGTTTGGTCACTTTGAGCTTTATTTTGAAATTCTGGGTTCAAACCTGTCTTCCAGAAGCTTCTGTATTAAATAGTTCAGAGTTTGTGTTCTGGGAGCTGCCTTGATAGGAGTTTGGTTTTCCCATGGTTTGCGGCCTGCTGGATTTGGGCCTTGTGGGTCCTCATTGGTGAGGGTGATTCTCATTCCATTTCAAGCATTCAGGTTTTAACCTGACACATTCTTAATTTCTCTGAGTTTTACCTGTGGTTTTGACTTGTTGAATTACAAACTTTGAGTTGGTCACTGAGTATCTCAGTTGGTGTTGGTTGTGTGATGTGGGCACAGAGCCAGTTCCTCAGCGTGGCCCGGGCTCCACAGGTGATTATTGTGTGCACACCATGTCAGATGTAAAAGTGATAGGACTGGAGGGATGAGGCACCTCCCTAGGAAGAAAGGCTGATTGAGAGAATTGGGATTTCTCAGCCTGCAGAAGAGGAGGCTCCAGGGTGACCCAGTTGAGGCTTTGCAGCACCTGCAGGGAGCCTGCAGTAAAGATGGAGAGAGACAATTTACGAGGGCATGGAATGGCAGGACAAGGGGGAATGGCCCCAAACTATAGGATTATAGGTTTACATTGGATATTGGGAAGGAATTGTGCCCTGGGAGGATGCTGAGCCTCTGGCACAGGTTGCCCAGAGAAGCTGCCCCTGGATCCCTGGCAGTGCCCAAGGCCAGGTTGGACATTGGGACTTGGAGCAGCCTGGGACAGTGGGAGGTGTCCCTACCATGGCTGGGGTGGCACTGGGTGGGCTTTTCAGTTTCCTTCCAACCAAAACCATCCTATGATGTTGCAACAATGTTCTCAGGAATTTCATTTGAAGACAAGAAATCAAGTGCTTAATTCGCTCCAACACTCCTGGAAATTAGTAGAAGCTCATTTGTGTAGACTTTTTCTGGAAAGCATTGTACAATATTCAGTTTTCTGCCTCAGATGTTCAGCACATATCTGCAGGTTTACACAAATAAAAGTCCTTTCTTGACTTCTTCCCATAAAAGAAAACAAAACCATTATCTATCAAACCATTGTAGTCTTCCACCAAAATTGGCTGCTGTAGTGCAGGTAACAGGAAAAGTATGGAAGGAGAGGGAGGACCTAGATTATGGATTTCTGGATTTCCCTCCTTTTATTCTCAGACCTTACTTGTAGCTATTGATTTTTACTATGGGCATTAAGCTTGTTATAGTGTCAAAGTATTCTAGAGTGCATAGGACATCAATTATGTAACAATTTTAAAAAAATATTTTTGAATTAAGCTTTTGTTTGTTTACTTTATACAGTAATAGGAATATGGACTTGAATGTTCTTATCCATATATGTGTATTCTGAAAATGATATTCTCAAAGGTTGTGTAATCACTCTAGCATATGTTGAAATAGTGTTTGTGTCAATAACAGCTGTGAGGCAGAATGTGCTAAATCCGGGTGGCTGTTTCACAGCTCTGAGTCATACCTCAGACAGGTAGGAGGTAAAGATGCTTGGGAAATACAGGTATGGAAACTCAAGTTTGTTTGTACTTTCTCAAGCTGTTAAAAAGGATGTTGCAAGGCAAAAAATGGCCTGGAGTTGCCGTCATCTTCTCAAATGCAGCTCATTTTCCTAAAACTTGTTGACACACCTGATGTTTGTGTGTTGCCAGAGAAATGACCAGCACGTGCTCCAGCCACACTTGGAGGCCAGGCTCACCTGTGAGCTCAGCATGGCCAAAGAATCTGCCCTGACTGTTGCTGAAAATGCTTTGATGCCTGTTTTAGTAGGAACTTGTAAACAGTGCAGGATGAAAAATTCATGGGTTTGCTTTTAATTTCTGTTATTTATGTTACCATTTTATGCCTAGTTTTCTTTATATAGAGAAAATCTCAATGTTCAGTTGTTAGCTTCCTGATCAGCCTGGTTTCACTGGTATCACTGACTCAGATGAAGACACCTCTGTCACATCTTCTGTTACCAGTCAGATTGTCCTGCTTCTGATGTTTTCTGATATGGCCAGAGAAATAATGCTTGTTTCTGAAGATATTCTGTGAAAATGGAGACACCAGTGGTTGTGTCTCAGTTGGCCCACCCACTGGGCATGTGGCATGATGATTCCTTCTGCAGAAGCAGATGATGCAAAAACTGAATATATTCCATGCAGAATTTGGTTTTATATGTTTGGTTTTTTTATTGCAGAGATGATGATGACATCAATGATGTTGCCTCTATGGCTGGTGTTAACCTTAATGAAGAAAGTGCCCGAATTATGGCCACCAACTCTGACTTGGTTGGATCCCAGATGCAGTCCTGTAAAGATGAACCCTTTCTTGCTGCTATACCTCTCCATAAACGCATACTTGAAACGGGTGAGAAGCACCTCCTTTCCTTCTGGGAGTGTTTCCTTCAGTGCTGAGGTTCTGAGGAACAGGATATGCTTAGCACTTAAGATGGTTTTTTAAGCATTTGATTCCATGATTTTGTATTTCTAAACTTTCAAGGTTTTTGTGATAAAAGGAACTTACCTCAAGTTGGAAATAAAATAGCATGCTGGTGCTTTTAAACTTCATGCTTTTCCCATGTTTTTCATATCCAAGGATCTCAAGCTCTTTGCAAACATTAATTATTTCTCACAATCCTCCTTCATGTTTTACACATGAGAAGATTGAAACAGAGAGGTAAAGTAAGTAGTACAGGTCACAGAGGACACCTGTGAATAACATTTAACAGAATGCTTAAGTTTCCTGACAAGATTTTCTTTCTCCATACAAACCAGTTATTCAATTCTTAACACCTGCATCTATTTAAGTTCATAGTGATTTTCTTATGGTATGTTTTCAAAAGGCTGTGTTTGTTTATCATGGCAAAAAGGTATGTTTATTTATTCTGCCATTTGAAAGTGGAAGTTAATAACTTTAGTAGAATAACTTTCAAAATCAGGGATGTTTTAAGGTTAGGAAATATAGAATGTATTTTATATGACATGCTTTATTAACATACACTATGTGTTCTGGTACTTAAATGTATATTTTCAGCTTAATTTTCATAATGTTTTCAGTGCCATCAGTGTCTCAACATACTAAGCTCTGGTTATTTAGGGATGTAAATTGTATCTCTTTCAGATCTATGCTTACATCACAAATTTTTAGGGATCTAGTTCTCAGAGTTTTAAAGACAAGACCAAAATCTTGTTGCAAATCAGTGCTGTCAGGTTTTTTTCAGTCGTGTGATTTCTTCTGAAATGCTGTTTGTGTTTATGTTCATTGAATTAATGGGAACCTTTTTATATTGCAGTTGCAGGCAAGTTCTTCATTGACTTATTGTCAGACTTCACTCTTGTACTTTACAAAATGCATTTTAAGTTCCCCTTCAGAGAAAGGATGGTATTGCTGGCTGTGAGGATGGCTGGGAAGCAAGTCCTGCCTTTTGGGACTGCCTCAGCACCACCTGGGACTGCAGCCAGCAAGGTCCTCACAAAATGTGCCTCAGAAACTGTTGGCAGGGATGCTCACACAATGGTTGATACAGGTGTAATAAAGGAAAAGGCAACAGACATAAAACTGTTAGAAAGAATGGGAAATCAGTAATGAATTTGCCACATCAGCCTTAATGAGCTGTCTGGCTGTAACAATTTCTGCACAACATGGAGCTGTAATTACAAGTGCAGGACTTACAGGAATCTGTACATACTTTAAGAGCCACAGAACCCATCACACTATTCATCACTGCCTTTTGGGGTTTGCTTCTCTGAGGAACAAATCCCTATGGCTGTTTTTGAAGCTTTATTGGCTTTGATAATTGAAATGAAACTTTCAAAGCTTTTAAAAGCAGCTGCAGGGATTTACTTCTCAAAAGCAGTGAATCCAGAAGAGAGGCCACTCCTAGTGATCTCCTGCAGCCACTTTTAGAGCTTTATTTTGGTTTTACATGAAGCCTTTTATAGTTTTGGAAGTGGCTGTGGAGTTCAGAAGTGGCCACTATCTGGGATCTATGGCTCTTGAGGACAGAATTCCTTCAGCTGATTTTGAACTTTTAGAAGCTGGGTTTTCACTGTGTGTGGCCAGATTTGTTGTTTGCTTAGGACCACACACAAATTTAGTAATTTGTGCTACTGGGCACTTAAAATAATGACATTGTGAGTTCACTACAAGACTCAGTATTGCCATATGTTGCTGTGACAACACCAGGACTAAGCAAAGCGCCCGTGACCTTCTCAAGCACATTAGGAAAAAGTCTGTGATGTGAGTCCTCATTCTTCTGTTTTCATTATGCCTGTTGACAGATGAGATAAGAGACATTGTTTCTTCTTAATTTTGCCTGAATATGACTTAAACAATGTTATTTTCTACCTTTAGGTCTATTCATATTTAATCACTTCAGTTTTAGGGCAGATTTTTAATGTTTTAGTAAAAGAGATTTGTGGTGTGTACAGTATTAGGAAACTGCTCTTGTCTCCTTTCTCAGAAGCTAGATCTTTCAAGTTTTCTGTAATATTAATCTTCTGCTCTCTTTTCTGAGTAAGAGCTGTGTCGAGCAGCTCGGTAGTGTTCCCCAAAGGCTGTTTCAGAGATTGTGCTTCCATTCACCAGAGTTGGAATATAAACTGCTAAAGTGAGAGCAGATGCTCTTCAGACTTTGGCAGTAACCACCAGCCAGATGCCTCAAAGACATAGTGAAAGAGCTTTCTTAATATATTGTGTGTTCTTATCTCTACTTGAGCTTGGCAGTGTTGTAATCCAAAGTTTATTTTAAATCTAAGGGACTAATATTGATCCATTTAAATGGAAGAAGTAACTGAAAGGTAATTCATGCAAAGATATTCATCCACTTCCCACATGCTTCCTTATCCAATTTTGTATCTAGTCATTTTGGGCTGGTAATCATTGCCATTTGTTCATGTAGGAAGGCAAGGCTGTGACTGTTTCAAATTCTTCTTTGATACAGAATCAAGAGTGGGTATTTCTCAGCATATAATGTATTTCTTTTGTTATTCCGCTCGGAATCATAAAACTTTAAACCCTGATCTTTCTACATGACAGCAGAGCACAATGAAACATACACAAAGGCTTGGAAGGCTTTTGTTTCTCTTTTTTGGGAAGTTGAGAGGTGGGGGTTGATATGCATCATGCATGTGCATCCCAACTCCTGACACTTTCTGGGTCTTTTAGCTTTGTTAGTACAATGAGTAGTGTTTCTTCAGAGGACAAGCAAGCTGGTTAGACCCTCACAAATAAATAATGCTGCAAAATCCTGGCTTTTCCACATGGTTTTATGGGAATGAATAAGAAAAATAATAATTATATTATTATTATTTAATTTTGTTTCAGTTGTTTCATTAATTTTGTTTCAGTAATTGTTTCAGTTTTGTTCATTTATAAGTTTTTTCTTGCTGGGTCAGAATGCTGTGTTAGTTAGGTTTTAGATGCTAGGTTTTGACATTCGGAGTTTTTTGTTGTTAACTGAATGAAGCAGCAGGCAACAATTAGTGAAGCAGATTTTTAAGTGTGACAGTTTTCTGTAGTTCATAACCATCTTGTGAAAATAGAGACTCCTTGGCTTTAATTCCTTGATTACAGCATGGTTCCTGAGTGCAGATAAGAACAAGGCTGCACTGCATGTTATATTAAATGTTAGTGAAAGGTAGCAGGACACAGCAAAGGATGGCATAAAACATGATCCTTTTTATAAAGCCTAATAACTAAATCCATGGAAAGAGGGAACAGCTGTCTCATGTACTTGTCTGAGAACTTGGTGGTCTCTCAAACCTTCACTGGGAGTTCCAAAAAACTTTGCTTTATATTTTCTGAACAACAGAGCATGAAACCTTCACAGGCTTAGAATCTGCAGCAGCTTATTAATTCCCACAACTTTTATTTAAAAGAAATTCTGATTTCTTCTACAATCAGGTGATGCCATTTTGCTTTTATTAACTCTCCCTAAAATGTCACAACTTGTGGTGAACCCTAACCATCAATTACTGTCATAATGCAATAATATTTAAGCAGGAGTTTGGCATATTGTATTCTTTGGCTTACATGATTCCTTTCTCTCTTCACTTTGTGTTCTTCACCTCATTTTTCTACTTCAGTTTTATTGTTGCAGAGCACTGACTGAATAGAACAGATGTGGCATTCTAAGAAATATGGGACTGGTTTGGCCACCTAAAATATAATTTGAATACTGTTCATCTTGTATCTTCCAAATTATTTTCACTTAAATGCATATGATAGAAATTTATTGGAGAATCAGCCATGATATCTTTATTTCACATTCATTCAGAATATTTTACACCTGCATTAAGAAATCAGATTGTCTGTAGCATGGTTTTACAAAATGCTGTATCTGTTATCAATGTCCTTTGGAAAAGTGTGTTATACTGACATAGCATACATCTGCAGGATTTCCCACCACAAGCTTAGTTCTGGATTCTCTTGCTTCATGGAAATAAATTTTTAGTCTAGAACACACACAGTGGTGCATGCCAGTTGTTACAAAGCTGAAAATGTGCTGATGAATTCAGTGTCTCCTAGTTCAGTAGTTTTAAGGCCTGCAGTCCTCCTTAAAACAGCTTCAGAGAAGCTTGGCTGGTTAGAAGTTCTGGTTCTGTCAATATAACAGTTGTATGGTTAGGCTCAACATAATTTATAGATTTACCTTTTTGTTATTTTACATGTAAAATATGTCTTTAATTCTGTCTGATGAAATATTGATCATTGCTCTGCCTTGATTGTTTCTTTGTTTAGCCATGCTTGAATTGCATGTCTGCTGTAACACTGCATGTTAAAACCTACAGAAATAGCTTATCTGGGTTTTTTATATTCTGGGGTGTATTGAAGCTGCTGTGGCATGGCAGTGGCAGCAGTTGTGTGCATATCTATATATTTTAAATACAGAATTTGTGTGCTCTAGAGGGCATTTTATATTGCTAAACCAAGTTAAAACCCATAGGGGTACCCTTCATGGAACCAGGCCAGGTGATTTCAGCCTCTATTTAAAGCATTTGTTATTAGTTCAGTAAGTCTTTCTGGCATCCTCTTTCTCTGGGTTTGTTTGTCAACATTTGTGTTCTTGTTTGAATGAAATGAAGCTGTCCTATTGATGGCTGCTCTTTCATATACAGAGCAGCTCTAACATAAAAGTGTAGTTATTTCTCTGGTTGCTTTACTTCAGAGAGCTTTTATAGCTACTTCAATTACAGTGCCTGTGTGTTCTGAAATTCTGAGCTCTCCTATTGCCTGTGAATATAATATTTCGTTTTCATTGCACTTTTTGTTGATGTGATTTAATTGTTTTCACTGCCGACTTTTAACTTTTTGTCCATAAGTTGATTTGTCTTCAAACTGAAGTATTTGTTTGAATATAATTTTTT